GCAGTGTTGATTCAAAGGCAGCTGCTGTCCACTTTCAAACTTGTATCACTTTTTGCACTGGTTCATGTAAAGATTCAAATCCAATTTCTAATTTAGTTTCAATCAAGAAAATCATGCTGCCTTAAGGGAGAGTGTAGATGGAGAAAATTTATTTGAAAGTAATATCTCTCTTCTCTCTTTTTTTTCTTTTTAACTGGCCAGTGCTTTACAAACTTCATGAAGAAATGTCATGGTAAAAATAGTCTCTAATTTGAAGTGGACTATATATGAAAGATGAGTTAGTCGTCTGGCTCAGAACCCTTAGGTTGTCATTGCAGTTTTACGTGATCCTAGTTAAGAATATTTGCAGGCAGGTACAACAAAGAGAGGAGGAGGTTATTAATACTGTTTGGAAAAGAAAAACATCCAGATACAAAACAGAGTGATAAAAATTGTTGTTGTTGGTTGTTCATTTGTTTTTTTTTAATCCATGGTTTAACTGCCTATTCTTACCACCAATAACTGTCATTAGAAAAATTGGTGTCTATGGAGAGAATGAATGGCTTAGCCTTTTCCAGCAGCCAGCCCTTCCTCTAAACTCTGATTGAATATAGATCAAATCTTGAGGAGAATTTAAACCAGGATTGGTCCTTCAGGTTAGGGCCTATGGGGATATGTGACTTGGGATGAAATGTGTCAGGATCAGGAAGTAAACTAAAAAATAAAGTAACGACAGAATATTATTTCCTCCTGTCCTTGAAAAATACTGATATAATTTCAATTCCTCTTTTCATGTGGTTTGCACAGTATTTGGTCAAGTGTTTTTTACTGTCAGGTAACAGGTAGGAGGTACATTGGTGCAGGAGACTTAAGAATATCTTTTTGAAAACTAGGTGTTACTCCCTACAGACTTTGAGCCTTCCTGTGGAAAGTTGCCTGGGAGGGAGGAACATGACTCTGCCTTGACTCCTAATAGAGAGCTGTTAACTATGTGTAACAAGCAGAATCTGCACCGATGTCCTCCAGCTTCAACATGTATTTGCTTTTATAAATCTTCAACTAGTCACTGTTTAAAATGAGACTTAATTCACTGTCACCTTTTTTAATACCTATGTGTTTTAAAATGTTTTCTTTGTTAAAATCCTGAATGTCTGTATTTATTGTGTACAGGAGGGGAGCAGCCAATACCTCTTTGGAATGAACATGATGGTACAACTGATGGAGAAAAACCAAAAATTCTTCTTTACTCATTGAGCCTGCAGTTTAAGGTAATCTTATGATGACAGCCCAGTGGTCCTAGATGCTATTCACGGCTTTCAGGTTTTTACCTCAAAGCTTATTGAAACAGGAATACTGTGCGTGAAGAAAAAACCCTTGAGTTTGGTTCCTGTCGTCTTTTAAAATAGCTTAGTGGCATTGCAGTGTGAAAAGCAATTACGTCCTCTTTTTTTGCTGCACAGTGAAAAGAGTTTTTGTTGTTTTGTTTCCCCCTCCCCCCCCCCGCTTCTCTTTATGCGTCTGAAGCAGATCCTAATAACTTTCTACCTCCCTTATTCCTTAGGGAATTCAAGTGACAGCTACAACTCCGTCAATGCGGGCTGTGAGATTTGAAACTGGATTGATAGAACTTGAACTCTCAAACAGACTGCAAACCAAAGCAATGCCTGGAAGTAGCAGCTACCTCAAACTGTTTGGGAAATGCCAGGTGGATTTAAATCTGGCACTAGGACAGATTGTGAAACATCAGGTTAGTGCTCAACATTGTTCCATGTGGCGTTCTTAATAGTGTGTGATGAAAAAATACATAACCAAGGCAAGAGGCTGTCTGACACAGATTTTTAATTTTTTTTTTTTTTTTTTTTTTCTGATCTGGCTGTGGAGTGGATGTAAAGCGGAGGGGGCCTGGGGAAGGTGTTGGGTTTTTGTTTGGGAGTTGTTTAGTTTTATTTTGGGGTTATTTTTTTTTCAGCTTGTCTTACTTTTTTTAATAAAAGTTTAAGCATTCTGCAGCACACAGTTGTGGAAATTTACTTCCTGAATATGCTCTTGTATTTTGTTAAATAATCATTCAAAATAAATTTTCTCACTTGAGTCAAGAAGGGACTGGAGATGACTTTTCAGAAGAAATAGCAAATCTTCATTATGAAGGCCAGTGTACGTGCATAAAAGATGGAAGGAGCCATGTACAGGCTCTTTTTTTTTTTTTAATGCTTTTAATATCTTAGAACTCACTAGCCCTTTGCAACAGTAATGGCCTTGCTACTGAGTCAAATCCAAAATTTTCCTTGATATTGTTATTATTTTTAGGTTACGTGAATGAAATAATAAGATCAGACGAGATCCAAACTTCACTAGACCTACATTTTGACCTAGTTTGTCTGTATTAGTTTAACAGTTGTATCCCTTGGATTCTTAAACCCACTGTTACCTGGAGTCACTAATTTTATGCTATGAAAATATTCTGTGATGCCTAGAAATAAACAAATACAAGCCTTAGAACCTATAAACATACTGTCACGATAAAGGATCTGGATATATAAATAGTTATTTTAGTTAATATTTTATGATAAATAAGGAAAACAACAACACTGCTATTAGAACTTATGTAAGAAAATTGAATATCCTCAAAGGAGCTTTGGCTGGAAGATAAAAAGAGGAAAGGAGACATCTTCTTCTTGTAATTCAACATTTTGTCAGAAGCAGTAATTTGATTATTTTTTTCCCCATCCCTGAACTCCTTCCTGCTGCAAACCCCTCCCCCTTCCCATTTTTTGAACATTTTAAGGTTTATGAAGAAGCTGGCTCAGACTTTCATCAAGTTGCCTATTTCAAGACAAGAATTGGATTAAGAAATGCTCTCCGAGAAGAAATCAGCGGCTCATCAGATAGAGAAGCTGTGCTCATTACTTTGAACAGACCAATAGTTTTTGCTCAGCCTGTGGCCTTTGATAGAGGTATTGAAAAGACAATTGCTACAAATTTGTCTTCATACTGAGGAAGCTATATTATTTTTTTTTTCAAAAAGGCTTGATTATTCAAGTTTTAATATATTTCATGTTAAATCAAAATGTTAGGTAGCTGAGACCTTGGGAGATCTACTGCATGCCAACAGGTTAATAACTCCTAATGTCAAAAATTCCGTTTGCTGAGGTGATTAGTTTTCAGATGGTTTGGAGGAAGTTGCTGTTTTAAGCCTTTACAAATGAATAATGCTGAGAACAGCAGCTCCTTCAGTATTTTAACGTGTTATCTTTTAGTGTGTTAACTTTGATGCGAAATGATTGGCTTTGTCCATCTTAACCTCTGCAGCGTGAGCCCCTTCACTACATCCTGAATATGTGTGTTCACTGTTGTACATCCGCTGTCTTAAAGTAATGGAGAAACCCTAAAAATGAAAAAAATTAACTTTATTTAGTGGATATGCTTTTTCTTTTTAATGTGTTGGTTTCAATTAAGCATTTCTGGTTTCTTCATAAAGCTGTGCTATTTTGGCTGAACTACAAGGCTGCATATGACAACTGGAATGAACAGAGAATGGCTTTACATAAGGATATTCATATGGCCACAAAAGAAGTAGTAGATATGCTGCCTGGAATCCAACAAACCTCTGCGCAGGCTTTTGGGACCCTCTTTCTTCAGCTGACTGTCAATGACTTAGGGATTTGCCTGCCCATCACAAACACACCTCAGGTACTCAAAATGTCTGAAGCCGTGTGGCTTAGTAGCAGTCTGTTGAAATGTCTGTTTGTATGTGGTACATTTGAGGACACAGAAGCCATGCAATTTTTCATGACACCAACACAAAAGTCGCCGCATGCACTAGTGACACCACTTGTAATAGAAATGGTGTTCTTATTTACAGAGAGCTAGGTTATGCGTATTTCAATTGGGGGGGGTGTGTGTTTGGGGAAATGTAATGAATTCTTGTTCACACCACATATGAGCTCAGCACTTTGGAAAGTCCTTGGAAATGTTTCAGGTGGAACACACTTTCTTGAAAGCTTCCCTCACAAATTCCAATTAATCCTTTATTTTTCGTGTGATTATAGATAGAAAAACTCTGAAAACTGTTGGCCTTAGCGTGATGTTCTGACTAGTTGGTTTGTTTGTTTAATTAAAACAAGGAATGTGAGAGTATGAATAACTATTTGAGGTACATAGGTCTATGTTTTTCAAACAGCTACTTAGAGAGTTGAATTGGGTTAAAAAATATATTTAAAATGCAGTCATTGACAAAAAAGTCTTATCATTGTAATACAGTCCATTGTAGTACATACTTATGCTGGATCAAAAGAAATCTAGCTTTATAAAAGGGGATATGTGAGGGGTTTTGCAGCTAAACAAGATTACAGACCTTCATATATAAAGGGCTGGAAAATAATTGGTCAATCTGTGCATTTAAGACTCTACATAATTGCGGGTACCAAAATAAGCACAAAAAATTACATAAAAATTAAAGCTGCTTTTTGTCATTGTTCAATCAACTCATGTGCAACCCTTCTTGGAGAAAAAAAAATCGATCCTGGGCCTGTGTTCTGTGGTCATGGGGCCATATGGTTCACAGTCCTTGATCAAACATAGATTTTTCTTTCCTTTTCCAGACAAGCCTGACTCCTAGTGCCCTAATATATTTACAAAGTAGGTGTTGCATTTAGAAAACAGCAATGCAAGACATTGTACAGGCAGATGTGATGCTTCTGAAACTTTTCTGCAGAGAAGGGAAAATACAAGGAGTTACGAGAAGGGGATCAGCTTTCTGACAGGGAAAGATAAACAGCACTTAACACACTTACAATATCCCTTTGACACTGTGACGACCAGGAAACTCTCTGTGTGATTTTATTTTCCAGTCTAACCACACTGCAGATCTCGACACCGGCTCTGCTTTAGTCCTGACTATTGAAAGCACATTAATCACTGCCTGCTCCTCGGAGTCTTTAGTGAGCAAAGGTCATTTTAAAAACTTCTGTATCCGCTTTGCTGATGGCTTTGAGACAAGTTGGGATGACTGGAAGCCAGAAATAAGAGGAGATCTAGTCATGAATGCATGTAAGTGGGTGCGGTTTCATACTGGACAATAGTATTTTGGCTATAAATCCACATTTACCCTTTCCTGTGACTTTTAAAACTGCTGAACTTTCCTTAAAAAGATAGAGACTTGGCCTTTTGAGAGCAAAATAGTATGGATCTAAAAAGTTGTATTCCTTTGTTTTCCTTAATAACTTGGTTGCTGTACGTCCCACTGTAAGCATTTAAGTTCTGTCTGAGATGCTGGAAGAGTTGGATGCATTGCTTTTATATAATTTCATAAGATCCCACTAAGTTTTTAATAGTTTAATATAGATGAGTTTCATTTATATATGTATATGTTCCATTATGGTAAAGATTCTGGAATTTATATGGAATTTTAAGTTGATATAAACTTGGATGTTACCGAGTAGATTCACTTTACTAAACAAGAAAAGTCATTCAATAGGAATTAAAACGAAACTCCTATCGAACACCACTCATGCTTTAATTGTGGAGGGCAAGAGACCGAGGTGAAATTTGGGAGGCTTGATCTAAAGTAGCCCTGACTATCTGCCTAATCGGTGTATGTGCTTCATATGCTTCATATAGGTGTAGTGCCAGATGGTACATATGAAGTATGTTCTAGGACAACAGGACAGGCTGCAGCAGGTAATAGACTTTTTTTTTTTTTTAGTAAATCAAGTCCTATATAAATAAAGCATTCATAAAAAATGAAATTTAAATCCTTTAACTGTGTTGTAATTTAATTGGTGGGTTGTTTTTTTGTTTTGCTTACTGTCTTGTTTTCCTGGTAACTCCTCACTGGTTTTATCTGCTCCATCTTTTCAAGCTATTCCAGGTTTTGAGTCACATCAGCAACACTGTTTTTAGGTTTTTATCTGCAGGAAAACACACAGTGTTACATGTGTTTGTTCCTTGGTTGGAGAATAGTCCTTCATAACAGCAGTGTTGTCCTACTGCTTCCTGTCCTAGAGACTGCTAAATCTTCCAGTCCTTCTAATGCTGGGACTTTGTGTCCTGAGCTCCCATTCCTCCCTCACCTCTTCCAGAGACAGCTTCTATTCTTCCCAAACTTTCTGTTTTCCCAGTCTCTCCTACTGAGTTGTTTGGACATTCTCCAGAGGCCTCAAAAATACCTGGCAGTCTGTCTTGGTCATCATACCTGCTGCTTGCTGCTTCTTATCGCTTTGCCCAGATGTTGCATCTGCGGTATCTCCGGTCCCCGTAGTTTTGCTCATTGTCCCCTGCTTGCTTTTTTTGTGCTGAGGTGACGTAAAAATGAAATATATGCTGCAACTATTAAAAATTTACCTCACGTGGAATTGTGAATGGTGAAAACCAGGATGAATCCATTTAGAAGGAAAACCAGGTTTTTGTGTAGTTCTGCTTAAATCAAGTTCTGTATTTTGATGCTGAAAGGTGGTGCTCATTAGAACAACCCTGGGAGGACAGGGTATTCAGCAGGCACATTACACATGTAACATTTTCCAGCATCATTATTCAAGACTTGAAACTGTAAATAGGTCAGCATTTTTGCATCCAGATGGACACCCTTTAGCTTTCTTGCTGTCAGAAATCCTGTTCTGAAATAGAATACTTGGCTGCAATTGAAAGAGCTGAAGCTTGAGATGCTCTTTCTTGGTCATCAGCTTGCCTGAAGGGAATGTATTTTCATTAGGTTTATCTATGTACATCACTTGTTAAAGAAATAGTAACTTCGTAGCTGTGAAGTACTTCCAGCAAGCATTTCGGTTGTGGAACGTGTTTTCCTCAGAGTGGGCAGAAAAGGTAGTTCTTTGTAACTGGTAGACACTGTCTTGGCTAACTAATACATAACTCAGTATGAGGGATCTTTTAAAAGAGGAAAAGCTGGTTAAACTTTTTTTTTTTTAAAATTCAGAAAGTAGTAGTGCTGGAACCTGGACGCTGAATGTGTTGTGGAAGATGTGTGGTATTGATGTCCACATGGATCCAAACATTGGGAAAAGACTGAATGCTCTAGGCAACACCCTCACAACGTTGACAGGAGAAGAAGATATTGATGATATTGCTGACCTTAACTCTGTAAACATAGCTGACCTTTCAGATGAGGATGAAGTTGACACTATGTCTCCCACTATACATGCAGTAAGTGAATCAACCAAAATAAGTGCTACTAATCAGAAGAGTCTTCAGTCAAATGGAAAGGTCTCAGTCTGGAGATGAGTCCAGCATGCTACTCCTTACAGCTCGTATAAGTCTTGTTGCAAATCAAAAAAGTTTGCGTGTTAGTTTTCTAACTCTGTATTTCAAAGGCGACAAATCACAGATCATATTTCTGCTGGTGTTATGTGGAAATATTGATCTGGATTTGGAGACGCAATACCTAACTTCAGGTACCTGAATTGGAAAACCTGTGGCTTTGGATGGGTTTTCTTAACAGGAAATTAAGTTACTAACAGAAGCAAATTAGAAAAAATTCTTTTTCGGTACTTCTACCCAGTATGCTGCTGACCTTGCTTTTTTGTTTCACATAATGTTCTAACAGGTGTTCTTTAATGGCTGTCTTAAATGTTTCTTGCCTGCCAACGGTGAAAAGCATTATCCCAGAACGCTAATGTTCCTGTTTGTTGTTTAGACATCAGGTGGAGGCTCATTCTGTGGAGATGCACGCAAGTTAACATTTGGGCAGCGGATTGTAAATCACCTCCTGGGTTTGAGCCCCCCAAACCATCGATACTCTGTTCCTGTAGAATATCTGTTGGGGTCAGCGAAGTGTGATTCTCTTCAGTCTAGCAGATCACATATGAAAGCAGGCAGATCCTGCTCATGGGGACATGTATGTAGTAGTTACAGTGTGTCTGACTGAATGATGGGGTTTGGATCACTGGAAGCAATCCAATCAGCTGCCTTTTGAGATGAAACTGATTATTTGCATGCACTAGTCCAAATCTTGAGGTGTGAAATCACTTTGCTTGTTGTTAAATTGTACTCATGTCCAATTTTTGATGAGGGCATTAATTAAATGTTTGTTTTAAATAGGAAATTGTTGATCACCGGCGGCAGGGAGCTTCTAGTATTCAAACTGGAGAACAGCGGGGAAGAAAATTTGTGAAACGTTTAGTCGATATTAGAGAACTCAATGAGCAAGCTAAAGTCATTGATGACTTAAAGTAAGTTGGGTTTTTCTTTAACTCACACAAAGTTTGGGAATAACAAACTGCATCTGACTTTTTAATGTTCTTATCAGATATCTCGTGGCATTGTGATGGTCAGGTGGAAATCGTTGTCTTAAAAATAAAGAATTGTCCTTTTGTATTCCATAAGGAAAAACTATACGTGCAAGTGCTCTCTCAGATTTCTCAAGTTCTTCCCGAAGTGTCAAATTAGCCTACATTCTTTTTGGCTCTGCTTTACAAGAGCCAATGGTAATCAGTTTCCTATTGATTCAAAATCATAGTTCCATCTTCATTTATTATCATAGTGATTACTTTAACAAAATGTATTACTTTGTAACTGTAATAAGCTTAGTCTCGTTCACTGGAAGAAGAAAAATATTTTCATCTCCTGTTTTTGCATCTTGTAGGTGATACTTTAAAATTAAATCTCCTATGCTGTACTTGAGAAAACCCTGAAGAATTACTACAAATTTCATAAATTGAATCTGAATTTCTTCTGTGAATTTTATTAATAATTTTTCACAGTCACGGTTTGTTGGACTTGCTTTCACACACCCTCACACCACCCCTGCCCCCCCCAGCCTTCCCTAAGAAAGACTTACTATAAATGGATCTGTCTGGGATGGGAATACAGAGCTTGGTAATGATAGGTTAAATAAGGAAGAGGAGACATGTTTTACTGCTTGTACTTGGAATAAAATTGCTGTCGCCATTCAGAGAGCAATTGGATCTGAACTTTGGATTTTTCTAATATCAAGAATCAAAACTAGGTTTTGTGCCTGCCATTTCTCAGTTTATGAATGCTTCAGTAAACTGTGATTCTTTCAAAACAGTTGCTTTACAGAGTTTTTAAAATTATTTAGCGGTGTGGGGTTTTTTCTGCAGGAGGTTCTCTGCTATAGAAGGCTGTCATTGGTGTGACAGGGCTTTTCTTCATCCTGCTGGGGATTCTCAGATTTGCCCATTATGTTTGTTTTCAATTAAACAGCTGTCATGTGATTGAAAGGGTATAGGAGGTCCTTAATCTAGTTCCAACTAGGGCTTTTTGAAACAAGAGTTGCTTCATAGCCATTCTTATTCTCCACCTTACTTAGCGCTGTAGTAGCAACATTGTTTGGGGGAGTCTCCTTGCATGCTAGTTTGTTCGACATCCTCTATCTGCTCTGCTAAGTCACTTGGAGACAGAAACCTTAAAATCAAAGAGTCCTCTTAAGGACAAAATATTATATGTGACAAATGTTATATCATGAAACAAGAATAAGTCTTCTGCAGCTGTATTTGGTACTGGTCAGAAGTAACTATTGACAAAAAAGAAGAGAAAGTGGGATGCTTCCCAGGGAAAGCAGAACATCACTGCGACATAAATTTGGAAATGGTGAAAATAATGTCATCTATTTGTGAGATAACTCATCCATGATTTATCCCCAGAAAATTAGGTGCAAGTGAAGGAACTATAAATCAAGAAATTCAGCGCTATCAGCAGCTGGAGTCGGTGGCTGTGAACGATATCCGCCGAGACGTTCGTAAAAAGCTGCGTAGATCCAGTATGAGGGTGAGCAGTATGAAGTTACTTGAAAAATACGATAGTACTTGCATTGCATATTTCTTTTTTTTAAGAATATCAAATTGTTCAGCAATCCCTTTACCTTCAGGAGGAGGCAGGGAAAGGTTTTTCTCCTTTGTAATAATGGTGATAGGAAAATAGAAGTTTCACAGATACTATAACGTAAATGGGTTTATTTGCACACTCGCAAGAAATAGTCAGAAAATGTGTATTTGAAGATGTCATTTGCTCCTCTTAGCAGATTTTAAAATGATTCCGATGAATGCAGAGGTAAGCACGTTAGCTGCCTGGGCAAATGACAGATATCTCTTGTATTCTACTTGGCGTGTGTGCTTTCTAGAAGTGTGTTCTATATATAAATAAACAGTATATTTGCAGAGTTAGGTGATGTAAAATTAAAAGCAAGCTACTAAGCATAGACACTAGAAGAAACTGGATGAAAAACAAGCAGTGCTACTGGTAATCCACAAACATATCAGAATCATAGAATAGTTTGGGTTGGAAGGGACCTTTAAAGGTCATCTAGTCCACCCTCCATACGTGGCTGTTGTCCCAGCCCCTGATAAAAAACCTGGCAAAACATTATTTTCAGTGTTTCCTAGTGCATGAGCTCCAAGTATGGGGCTTCATCAATGAGAAAAGATCTTTCAAATAGTACTCTGTTTGCAGCTCTTCCTCAGGTGCTCTCGTATTAGCTCATGTTCTTTTGTTACTGTGGTGGTAGCTAGGAAGGAGTCTGTTGAAGTAGTGAGATTATTAGCTTTGGGTGTACTTTCCTCCTGGCAACAGGACGTTACCAATTCTAGCAAGTATGAGAAGTGAACATGTATCCAGAGGGAAGATGAAGATGATGCTGGCAAATGCTGAGAAGAGATGTATTTTAGCTATTATGGAACAAAAAAAATCCTTTTACTTTACTGGCATACCTGTGTAAAACTGTTTTAGCTTGCCAGAGTTTTTCTCTGTGTTCTCAGTTGTTGCTTCTAAATATTATTTCCATTTTAGGCTGCCTCTTTGAAAGACAAATGGGGTCTCAGCTACAAACCCAGCTATAGCCGATCTAAGAGTATTTCAGCATCAGGAAGACCACCTCTGAAGAGAATGGACAGAACAAGGTAAGCTTCTGGGAATTTGAGATCTGTGATAGCAGCAACAGCGTATGTAACAGAGGAAACATTGGACTTTGGCTGTAAGAGTCCTTTTACTGTAGGCAGTGGCTGTATGTGGTGGAACTGGACAGGAGGAGGTCATTATGGAAGACAGGCATGTTGTAAAAAGCAACTTTTCACCTTTTTTTGAAACTCCTTTTTTGACAGAGTAGTATGTCAAATAAGAAGTTTCCATTTCTACAACAGCTTAGGGTTTTCTACAGAATCCTGCTTTCAAGACATATTGAAGAAAAGTATATAAAGAAAAATGGCATAGTGTAATCATTTTGATTTCTACACTTGATTTCCCATCATCTGCCTTAAAAAAGGGCTGTTGTGATGAGGAGACATATTTTTTTTTGTGAATGATAATTTTCTTTTAATCTCTTCGCCTGTATAACATATGTTGGTTTTGTTTCATCATTTAATGCCTTCCAAGCAAACTACTTGTATAACGATGCCTCCTAGTAAAGTGTTTGCTTTAGTTTTGGAATACATGTGTTTGAGTCTACTGCTCCTGTAGATCCAGCTGAAGCTTTCACAGCTTGGAATTAAAAATGTGCTGCATTATTATGTATTAAATATAAAAGATTTGGCAATTAAAGAG